TCCCTACAAATTTCAGACCCTTCCAGAGGAAAAATGTGCTCACACTGTATTCAGTATGTCCAGTTAAATCAGACAATATTTTAAAGCTCCTCTCTCACACATGTGCGCACAGTCACCTGAGTAGCTTCCAGGATGAAGTCATGGATGCTGATCTGCTCCTTGTTGGACAGATAGAGTCGGTCTTTACTTATGAGGGTGACAGTGAATGCCTCGCAGGTCATGGCCTCCTCTTGGCTGGCTGGCCAGTACACAAACTCATCCTCCACCTGCAGAAGAGCACACAGTTTCACAAGTGTTTGTTCATTCATTCAACAATGGATAACAGGATACAAAATTACTTTAAAAATATTATATATACACAGGTACGAGAGGGAACAAAGGTTCACTTAACACCACACTTGGACTGAAATTTCCACTTTATTAGCAATGAAGCAATGACATCAAGAGGAACACAGCTCAATATTTTGATTTTAAAATGACCTCTTGCTGTTTTACCCCTCTTCTACAGTAGAATCTATCACTATACCTATGCAACAGTTGAATGTTCTACCATTCCTCCAGATTTTTGTAATCGGTGCTCAGTGTTTACAGAATTGACTAAAAAATGTCAAGTTTTTAATAAAGGCTTGTTAAAGGTCTCTCAATTAGGTGATGTTCTAACAAGGGCACCTAGAGAGCCACCCTATGACTGGCCATTTGAAAGCCTCATTGCACAGGCTGTATTGTTGGTTTGAAACTTCCTGTGAAGCTGCCGATCCTGGGTGCCACTTTACATAGTTACCTACTATATTTGTGTATATGGGGACATGTTACAGGGTGAGACAAGTGTCCCAGTTTCTTTCATTCCATTCCAACCTGGTTGGCTGCTTGTCAGCCCTATCTATGTTGGATTATATCATTTCCAATCCTAGTCCTATTCCAGGTGCAAAAGGCAACACTTTCAGTGTTAAAGTCACTACATTAAAGCCTGTACTTTTGTATTCCTTCAGGTCTGATCTTACAATTTTTAAGTAAGTTTTGAGTAGATTTTCTGAATGTATAATTAGCAAAATTCTTAAATGACTGTAACACAGCAAACTGCTATGTGACAGCAGGTTTGCAGTGAATTTCTGCCAATTCTTCCCCACTCCAGGTTTTAAAAGTTCAAATATCACAATGTATCAGTCCTGCTGTTCAGTGGAAATCCTGCAGACCTCATAGGAAATACTCTTTGTGTAAGCATATGCTTATGGAATTACACCAACGGAAATGCTGAGAGACTCATCGTTAAGTCATTCTTCATGAGTCTGAGTCGAGTCTGGGGTGAAATGGGTACAAGCTGCAAGTTAAGTCAGAAGTGTATTTATGTGACACTCAAGTAGCAGTTGCCAACTTATGACACACACCTCTTTAAAACAGTTTTTGTAAAGACTACATCATCACCTTCATGAAGGAGGATTCATTGCAGGTCTTAAGATTTACATGGTCTGTGGCAGGTCAGAGGAATTAACCAACACTGTTCACTGGCAAGAAAAAGTACATGAACCATTTGCAATTATCTGGTTTTCTTCATGAGTTGGGGCTGCTTTGCTGCCTCTGGACCTCGAAAGTTTGGAGTGAAAAATAAATTCCTAGGTTTATCAAGGAATCCTACAGGATAATGTCAGGGTGACTGTCTACCAACTGAAGCTCAGTAGAAGCGGGGTAATGCAGTAGCATGGTTACCCTAAACACTGAGGTAGATCTAACAGAATGGCATCAAAACAAGAAAATCTGCATCCCAGTCAGAGCCCAGACCTCAACCTAAAAGAGATGCTGTGAAATGAGCAAGCAAGCAAGCAAGCAAAACTTATTTATATAGCACCTTTCTAAACCTACGTTACAAGGTGCTTTACAGTAAAACATAAAAAAAATAATAAAATAAATAAAACCAGATAAAACACATCTACACAATAAAACAATAACAGCAAAAATGTATACTCAAAACAAATACATCAATCAGTGAAGTTGTTAAAAGCTTGTGAATACAAATATGTTTTAAGAAGTGATCTAAAAACAGTCAGGTTTCGAGCAGATCTAATATCCCGTGGCAGACCATTCCACAGTACAGGAGCCCGAACAGAAAAAGCTCAGTCTCCCCAATGTTTCAGTCTGGACTTTGGTACTTCCAGGAACAACTGGTTAGAAGACCTAAGTGTCCTCTCTCATAAAAACGCAGTTCTGATCCACAGTTACAGGAAGCATTTGTTTGTGATTATTGCTGCCAAAGAAGTTTCAACCAGTTATTAAATCCAAGGGTTCACTTACTTTGTCCACCAGCACTTTGAATGTTTAATGATTGGATTCAATAAAAGTATAAAAATGATCATTGTTTATATGTTCTTAACATAAAATTGTATTTGTCTATACTTGTGGATCACATTTTATGACCAATATCATGTAAAAAACAACAACAAAAACAAACAAAAAAAAAAACAGGTGATTTCAAATGGTTCAGAGATTCGGTGCCAGGGTTCGGTGTGTGGGTCCCCTGATGAGGCAGCGCTGGTAGCTGAGCGGTGCGACGTAGGATGGTGGCGCTGTTCCAGGATAGCCTTGGAGCTCTGAGAGGTGGAGCAATTCACAAAAAGCAGTCCAAAAACCAAAAACCCCTTTAAACGTGAGAAGGGCAAGAAAACCGATACCACAGAACAATGCGCAAATACAGTTCACAAAGTTGCGAAAGGAGCGTAGATCAAACAATGGTCCATAAACTTTGGCATGAACATGAAACGTAGTTACCATCAGGATAATACATAATAATCTGGCAACGAGGACGCACCAACGCTGACCCTATATACTGCTCTGGTAATGGAGTGCAGGTGTGCCTTGTCGCCTGGAATGCACCCTCACCTGTGCGGGGGCGGAGCTGCTACCTGTGCCGGCTACCGAGGTACATGGGGCGGCCCGAGTCACAGACGTAACAACAGTATCTGCATAAGAACTGTGTGCAAATGAATAAAGAGCAGTATCCTGTGAGTAGAGTATGTGCAAATTAACAGATCACTTCAGTGTTACAGTAACAGAAGCGTATTGCATTAGTCCTGGGAGGAGAGATGAGAAGGGGTGAGGTGTGTGTAATGGTATAGAGGAAGGCAGTGGGGGGTCAACAGGGGACAGAGTTCAGTAAGGAGACAGCTGTGGGGAACAAGCTGTTCCTGAGTCCACTGGTTTTGGTCCGGAGGCTCCTGAAGCACCTCCCAGAGGGTAGGAGGTCAAACAGTTTGTGAGCAGGGTGAGAGGAGTCCTGCGAGCACATCAGAGACAGAGTTCCCTGTGGACACTCTCAATGGCTGGAAATGGAGACCTTGTGATGCGCTGAGCAGTTTTCACCACCTACTGCAGTGCCTTGTGGTCAGAGACAGAGCAGTTTTCATACCAGACTGTGATACAGCTGGTCAGGATGCTCTCGATGGCACAGCGGTAGAACTTTACCAGGATGGCTGAAGGTGGTTCTTCTTAAGTGTCCTCAGAAAGAGGAGGTGCTGGTGAGCCTTTTTAACCAGGCTGCGGGTGTTGGTGGTCCAGGACAGAGCCATGCACAGGCCTGCAGTCATGGGTAAAAAGGGAGTAGAGGAATATGGGCTCAGCACACAGCCCTGTGGTACGCCGATGTTGAAGATAATGGTGGAGGAGCAGGTGCTGTCTGACCTAACATGCTGAGGCCTGCTGGTCAAAGTCCAGAATCTAGTTGCAAGTACAAGTACAGACTTCAGCGGACAGTGAGGACTGCATAAAAGATCATTGATTTGTTTTTGATTTGATTTGATTTATTCTTTCAAACATGTAACGACAGTCAATATGTCAACACACATAATTTCACACATATCCACAAATGCATTATCAATTTGCTTATACCTAGTACATGCTTGAAGGGAGTAGGAAGAAGTTAGACTTATCTAGTCCTACCCCATAACATCATCTTACCATCATTGGTTTGCAAGCAGTATTACTACATAGATAATTTTGTTCTACACCACGCTAGTGATAT